AGAGACATGGCATGCGCTGCCACGCAACAAATCATAAACAGACAATTGAACTATGACGCGCCACACCTGAAGGCACTGTTATGGGCAATTCGTTCAAGTTTCCAAGTGGCAGAACGACAACACAAAGGAACGTAATAACCAGTCTGTCAACAGAGTATATCAAGAGGAGGGATTTGTGTGTAATGTATTTTTCCACCACAATAGGATACAATACATCATGCGTCTGACATATATAGGAAACAACCTTCCACCACAACAATTTCTGTAACCCTGCGCAGGGGCCATAGTGTTTACCTATGAGCTCATAGCATCTGTTGCATGATCATGCTTGGCCAAAGCAATGCAAGCGCTGACATACTAAAAGAATGGCTGCCAAGAAAATAATCTTACTAAATATCACAAGACAGGCAGACAAGGAAGGACAACTCATAAAACGAATGAAAATGTCCTGATTCGCCGGAACTGGAGAAGTAGTGGCTTTTCGGGGCGTCCATCACAGTTGGCTGCTAACCTGCTACTCTCAAAGGAAGCTAAGTGCTGCTCTTTCTATATGATTTGTTATAAGTATTTTGGCTTGCAGATATGATTTTGCTAATTGCACATAGAATCCAGGTGTTTGTTTTATGTATCCAAACCACTATAGCTTGGGGAAAAGATTTTATTTGATTTATATGTTTTTGATTTGTGATCAATGTCTGGTCTGTTAATAACCAGGCTGCTTTTTGAAACAAATTACACTAATGTTGGAAAAGACTAAAGGAATAATCCTATGAATATATTTACCAGTATAACGCATTAAATGAAACTTAACATGTCAGTCCATAAAAACGTCTTTGTTGGTGCTCAAATCCTTCGAGGGGCAGGAAAGGTGGCAGTAAGCAAGGTGAATTTATTTTGGTTGTGTTGATGTAGTGTGGAGAAAAAGCTGGGCCACCAAGTGACATTTTTTTTTTTTTTTAGCGATCAGGTATTTAGACCTTAGTCTGGGGGCGATCTGACTTCACTGCTATAGCGCAGGCAATGAAACGTCGAGTTTGGTGGGAGGTAAACTGTTTAACTTGGTTTCCCTACTTTACAGGTCATTAGGGTGACTGTATGTACGATTCGTTTGTCAACCACACAACCTTTTTTCCACTTTTTCGACCCTGATTAGTCGCTCGTTAGCTAGATGTCGAGAG